AGGGCGAACTTTCTTGTCTTGTGCACATCTGGTTATTTTGGGTTACAGGCAATTTTGTTATCTATATGGTTGCGGTATATTATGTAAAAGGTTATGTTATATGCATGTATCTATATGTTTATCTTTGGTGTTGGTGTGGCATCGTTACACGATTATAAAATACGTATACGCGTTTATAAATTACACAAGTATTTGCACATGTAGTACGAAATATCCTTTACGAACTTAATTTTAAACTATTTTTATTGTTAAAGAATTTTATTAAGTACAGTCAAAAATCTTTATGCATTATGTAGGTAAATTAATATGTTTTTTTTTATCTTTCTTTAGAAATCTGTATATTCACAATTTTTGTACTATAGTTTAGTTTATTAATATTTTATATTACGTACATTCGTCGACAACTATAATATTTTATTGTAAAGGATATTTATTTTATTTTATATATAATTAATAAATATTGATAATGTAGCATTAATGTTAGTTTAAAATTAAAACGAAATTGTTCTGCTGTTTCGTGTATACTGTGGCAATAAGTTGACAGCTTGTTATATTCAGTTCGCCATTTTGAATTTATTTTGCGTTACCCGCTAAGTAGTCGCTTCGCCCGACTAGAAAATTATAATTTCAGTTAATAAATATTGTATTTAATTGTTGATTTCGATTGTTTTTAATTGAATAAGGAAAAATATTTTGTTTTTTAAAGAAAAGAAGATTTTTTGGTTTAAAATACTGTTCACAATCGTAGGAATTAAATGTAGATTAAATATATTTTATGAATAACTTGTAAATATATAATTTTCTTTTACTAATTCTAACTTTATGCTAGTCTCTGGTATAATCTTATTATTTAAAAAATATACAATATTAACTGGGTACACGTTATGTTATTAATATGCATAATTTTCTATTACAAATGTATTAAACATAGTGATAAAAATTTATAAAACTGTTAAGGAAGGCAAATAATCTCGTAAATATATCATTAATTTAAAAGAGAAAAGATTAAGAGAGTTGTCTATTATAGAAAGAATTTTTATTAATAACCATAACAATCTTTAGGCCATTTAAAGTGGACTGGTGATGGGCGAAATTTATTTACAATAGCAACTCTACAAGATGATTATTGAATAGCATAGACAATGATAGGCATGGAGGAGATAATGATTGATGATGAGGAGAGAGAGTAGGTGTAGGCCGGTTAGATAACGTGGGAGGTTTCCCAGACTCGGGGCTGGGGCGCGCGACGCCGCCGCGCCGGGCCGCGTCCCCCGCGCTGCGGGCGCGAGGCGCGGGCTCGCCGGCGTCAGGTCCGGGCTCGCTGCCCGCGCCGCCCACAGCCATCGGCCGCCGCCGCGCGCCGCCTGATGACGCTTCCGACGTCTCCTCCACGCACTCCTCCATCATGGACTACTCGGGTAAGTTTGTTACATGGTGAGTTTACCCTGGAACGGAATTCAACGTCATATCGACTCTCTTGAAATGTAACTAGTTTTTAGCTATCTAGTTAGCGTGTAGAGGTAATATTGTTGTGTACTATGTCTTGTTGAATGTAAAAACATTAGTAGGATTTGTACTGAGCTAGACCGAAATTTGTTTTACGTTTCCCAACAAAAAGACGAGGTACCTTTTAAGATTCGTTATTCAATATTATGCAAATAGAACATAAATGATATATATACACTTTATTTACTAAACGACTATAATGAAAATCACTCCTTAAGTAAACGTGCACAATAAATATAATTAATGCTGCTCCTACTTATTTTGTTTAAGATCTTTTTGTGCATTTTGTTCTAGAAGCATCCAATCGGGAACGGCGTAAAGGTTCTTTGAATTTCTTAGTTTATAACGTAGGTCATCACGACACGCGCACGTTACGCGCACGCGCACGTCACGTGACCGCAACGATGTCATGCCAACCACCACGGACTAGATGTATATTATAAGGCATGGTTTTGTGATTGTCAGCTAACCAGTTTGCGTTTGACTACGGCTTACGACATCCGCTTGCTCACAGATACTTTTGTTTTTATTTGTTAACACATCGCAATATCATCATCATGCGATCATACCTGTCAGTACATCAATGTGTAGAAATAAGTCATTTTAGTGTTTAAAATTAAAGTAAATTTGCAGATCATATTAGCAGGCACCGTTGTCATTGCGTCAAATCACTTTTCAGTAGATACTTATATATTTAGCTGATACACAGAGATTTGAAAAGCACTCGAAATTTAAATTGCAACAATACAAAATATATTCTGAATAAATCACAACAAAGTTTTGTAGATAAACTATCACTGGTATAGTTATAAAAACATAGTACAAGAGGTAAGTATTGGCGATGTGCGCAGGTCCGAAGCTGTACAAGCAGCCGACGACGAAGTCAAACCGCGGCATAATGCTGAACGCGGTGGAGTACTGCGTGTTCCCGGGCGCGGTGAACGCGGAGGCCAAGCGGCGCGTGCTGGAGGAGGTGGCGCGCTCCGAGAGCAAGCACTTCCTCGTGCTGTTCCGCGACGCCGGCTGCCAGTTCCGCGCGCTCTACTCCTACTGCCCCGACACCGAGCTCGTCGCCAAGCTCTACGGCACCGGTCCCAAGCACGTCAACGACAGGATGTTCGACAAGTTCTTCAAGTTAGTAGCCTCATTGAATCACTCTTAATGTAGTTTAAATTTAAAATCACACCAATAGGGGGTGCTCCTGTCGAGTTCGAGGTAACAATAGGAATTCGATACGAGTTAATGAAGAACATTTACCAGGCCTACTTATAGCAGTTAATATTCACGCATGGTAACGTTCAGAGGATTGCGCATGAAACTTACTATATAATTGTTTTTACAGATACAATTCCGGCAGCAAGTGCTTCTCGCAGGTGCACACGAAGCACCTGACGGTGACAATCGACGCGTTCACGATACACAACTCGCTGTGGCAGGGCAAGAAGGTGCAGCTGCCCAGCAAGAAGGACATGGCGCTCGTCATCTAGGCCGCTCCGTCCACGCCGCCCCGCGCCCCGCGCCACGCGCCCCACGCGCCCCGCGCCCCGCGCACACACACACACACACACACGCTTTACGAGACAAACGCTTTTATTAATAAAGTTATCTAGTCGCCGGCGGCACTCGAGTCTTCAGTCCTCGGCTAACGCTTCGTAGGGCAACACTGCCAGGGGCCGGTATCGGTGACGCGTCTCCTGGGAAGGGACCCGCGTTTGTATCGATCCGCTCTCCCCACTGGCGTTTATGGTTCTGGATAATGGTTATAAATGTTTATATGTATGGATGGAATGTTAGGAATTGTGTGAGAATGTATGTTGTGATGTGGATAGCTTCACATGTGCGCGCGGCGGCCGAGCTGCGCGCAGGAGCACCTCACAGCTGATTGCATTTTAAACGAAATAAATATTTACGTTGTATACAAATTAAATCTTATAATATTGTATACTTGACAGAATTACTAATTTTAGTTTATATTTTTAATGAAGCCTAGCGATTGAACTGTAGCTATCTCAAGTTGATAGTTTGATTTCTAGCTGAGGCTAAATATCTGTATTATTTCAAAGAATCACAATACTTTTAGGTTTTGCGTCCCGGTGAGAAAGACCTTTACTTTCGGTCATAAACTGGAACTGGTTAGGTGGAAAATGTATAGTGATTGTTATTAGTCTTCCCCGTTTGGGAAAAGCGAGATAGTTCATTTTAAACTGTTTACGCGAACATTTGACATTATCTTTATTGAATTTGTGTTGTGATTGTTTAGGGGCATTTCTGTCTGTTTTCTTAAGTCTACGATCTCTTTATCGTCACACAGCCGTTTATTTTAGAATCTAAGCGAAGTTGATTGTTAAATTTTTATTTTTACCATGTTAGGTATATCGCTTCGCGCTCTAAGCTCATTTATTTCTTAAATCATGGCCTAAGTCCATATAGATTAAGAAATATCGTGTCTCAAAAGTCAAATTATTTTAAATTTTATTTCCTCAGGTTGTATTTTATTACTGTTTATATTTTCTTTTTTTCATAATTGTTTTAATAAATCAGACATTAAAGCATTGTATGCATAAGAAAAGACATTATTGTGAATATAATAAATTGTCATCGAGGGATTGTTAGGGCAAGTGAGAGGTGGGAGTGTTTGCCATACGCGCCGCGTGCGAGGGGGAGGGGGGCGCTGCGGGCGGCCGTTCCGTCGCCCTTTAGTTAAACTTATCCCGTTAAGTAACAACTTCACAAACTAATCGTGCTTACTTGTTATAATATTTAACTCGTTAGTGATAATTTCGATTGACTGGAGCTGATTGTAGCAATTGCGTATATTTTTGTGTTAGAAACATTCATTTAACGTAACTCGATTCCCATTTTTTACTGCTTGTATAGCTAAAATAAGACGAGGCACATTTTACTTGGTAATTGTCCTGCCTTACTCTGTACATAATTGTTTTTGTATACAGCTATTTATTAAAAGAATGTTAAACGGAAATTGATGAATGTCATTTCATTGTTCAATGATCGCTCATCAATGTACTATCGATAGTGTACGCTATGCAAATATATTGTATTCATAAAAAGCATAACGAAATAATATTGAATTTCATATTATTACTGCCTTTTATTTTCTTTCATCGAATTTATCAATTAAAGCTCGGTTTACGTTATCTCAAATCAGCAACCGAAATGCACTGTGCTGGATTACAATCACTGGACTGGAATTGAACGTAGCGTTAAGCGTAAATTAAAACATATACAAATAGAAACAATAGTAATTCTACAATAAGTTGAGTGTTTGTGGGGAGGTAGAGATGCTGCGTCATTTACTTGGTACACGTGTTATTTCAAAACGAGGTAGAGTTTTAATAAAAACAAATCATCCTTTTTAAAATCATATAATTTAATCTTTTGTAAGTATGCATTAAAACATACATTAGCCATTGATTTCAATTAAAAACAGCAATTATTGTAATTAAATAAAATGAGTCGTTCCTTTAGTCATAATTAAAATCAGCACTAAAATAATCACAATATACGGCAAAACATATTTTTAAATGTCTAAATTATTCCTTATATATATATGGGTTCAAATGGTAACTATTGCATATCTCTTGTATTAATTAATTTAATATTATGACATTTTTATATAATTATGCTCAGTATTATAAAAAAACAAATTAGCATATTTTTAAAACATTAATAGTAAAGACATCACTGAGATATAACAAATTACATAAAATATCTATTTTAAGATTGATTAATAATCACTTATCAGTAATCAAAGCGAATACAATCTCACAAAAACAATTATATTTTAGGACATTTTTAATTAGTTGTAGGATATTGTGTTTTGGTTTACTGGATAATATTTTTTTTACTTCGGTTAAAAAAAAAGTTAAAAGAATTCCATGTCTTTTAAAAGTTATTAGATTTGTTTGCTATTTAGTATGAAGTTATACAGAATTGTAATTACTTGCACAAGGCTTAATCATTTTTTATGTTGACAATTATAAATATTCTAAGGCTGCGGACACATCATTTAAAACGAGCGGCGGCGGGAGCGGGGCGATGCAAACCAAAGTATAGGAAAACACGGGATAGCACTTTTGTTTACATCGCCCCGCTACTCGCTAATTTTGTGTTCGCGACCTTAAATTCAACATTGACACTTAAAAAAAACAAACAAAATATATACAAACCTAGCTAACTATTATCTTAATATATCTAAATGCTTTACACATACACATTGCAGATGCGTTATCACGAATCATTAAATAATCATATCTTTTTTATACATAAATGATAAATGTTTGCGGCTGTATGTAAAAGTTTTGAGCAAATAATACCAAAATGGTAACATGGAATGTCGGCTTCAAAACAATATCTTTTGTATTAAATTTTCGATACATCACTAATGACTAGTTTACTTAATTTTAATATAAAAATAGTGACTTAGTGTAGCAGGTTTATGATATTCGAGTAACAATACGTTTGAAAACTGCAATTTTGAAGAATTGAAATAATAGAGATAAAAAAATTACGGCAAGAGCAGCCTTTATACTTGAACTGTAAATATAATGTAAGATATTGTTTTGACAGCGACTATTATTTATAAAAGTAAAATTTTAAATCAAATAGAGATATAAAAGTGGTAGTGTCTACACGAGCGTGTAGTAGTGCGGGAGGTTGGGCGCGCCCTTGTCTACACTCTTCTGCAGGTTCAGCTGGTGCACCACCGTCTCCGGACCCAGCAGCTCCTATATAAAGATCATATATTATTACTTGTTAGTTAATATAGTTAATAAGAGGAAACAGAATAACTGCTGCATTCGAGCACCGAAAAATGGTTCCTAAGGAGGCTTCTTAGTATAATTTCTCATAATAAATCTTCACTGAGAGACATTACAGCGAGTCTAAATGCGAGAGTTATAAAGGAAAATACTAGAGCCTCCATGATTAACTTTTACTGCTATACGATAACTGTATTAAAATCGATAATAACTAAATAACTGGAGATGGAGGTTATTTATAATTTTAGCATTATCGGCTGGTATATTGAAAAGAAAGTTAATCATACAAACCTCTTCGTCGTCGAAACCATTGATCTCTACGGGTATAGTTTGTCCGTCCTGCGTAACAACCTGTAACAGTTCAATAAATATACATTAAATAATGATAAATACTTCCAATTGTTCAGGGTATAGAGTATATTCAAACATCTTGGCTGCTCGGAACATCATCCGAGTCCGAGAGCGGAGGGTACACCGAACTTTGGGCTGGCAAGATATTTGAAGACTTATATCCAATACCTGGTTAATATAATCAATCGATAAAAGGTTACCTGCAAAGACTTGCCGTCTGCGGAGGTGATAGCGAGGCGCGTGCCGTCCTGCATCGTGAAGTGCAGCTGATTGCCGTGCTCGTCCGTCACCTGACATACACAACATATGTACTACCAAATATATCATACATTAAAAACATTTTTTCTTCCTCTCCCTTAAGCAGTCCCTTAGCGATGTTTTTTTATAGTAAATCTACATTATATAACAGATATAAGTCTAGTACTGACGGGTAAATGTTCCCTGTGATCGTTTTCGATGTCGTGCTGTAGGTCCAAGGATTGCGACAGCTCATCTTGCGCACCCAGCAGCGACGACTCCGAGTACAGTTCCTGAACATGAACACAATAATTACAGAATATGATTTCGACAGACGAACGACATTCGGCTAAGTTATTAACTATAGCTATTACTAAGTACTTTGTCTTGATGATTTAAATTATAATGGACGGTTATAATTACAGATTAGGTTTATTGCAAACATCTTTCTTATGTTGATGACGAGAAAAGTCGCATTATGGTTGTGTTGACTTCCACATTTGTCTCGTGCGCCTACTTCTGTGCCTCAGCCAGAGTCAGTCAAGTGAAGCGACAGTGTACCAGGATAACGATGCTTAGTTAGTCTATTGTGGTATCGAGACAAAGTATATATTTCTAAACCACCTATGGAAAGATAGGACGTAGCAATTTTCTTTTACTTTGCCTCAGTTTATTTATCTCATGATAATTGACAAAGTTCACATTCAATCGATGATCATACGTTACCTCTGGTAAATGTAACGAAGTGGAGGGCTCGTCGACATCGTACGCGATGTACACGACACCGTCGCTATCGTCCCCCAGCTCGGCGTCCAGCTGCACACCCAGCTCTGCCTCCAGTCCCGCGTCCAGTTCATCGTCCAACTCCGTCTGGACGCCAACTCCCGCAGACATCGGCTCGCTCTCAGATACCAGCAGACTTATTTGCTTCGATGTCTGTATCTGTAAATAATACGACACGTATACTTTAGCTCTAAACTTAATGGCTAAACACAGTTCGACAATTATTTTTCATGCAATAACTCAAATGATTTTGTGGAATAGAATAAAAAAAAGAACTCTCAGAGTTAGGGTAAAGATATAAATATCACGATACATTCATTTTGTATCGTACCGGTTGCTTTTCCGACGCGGAGGCGATCTTGCGCAAGAGACGCTGTGAGGGGCGCTGCAGAGGGCGCTCTGTAGGCACGCGGCCGCACGCCGGGCACCGCGACACCCCACCGGCCTCGCGCACTCCGCCGCTCACAAGACCGCGCGACGGCATCCTAAACAAACACAATGACTAATTAATCACTAAATTAAGGTCGCATATCTACTGCGCAGTGCGCGTCGCCCTTTACGTCCACCTAAACCAAAAAAATTGTATATTGCGCATCCTCTCCTCTGAAGTTTTGAGCCGCAGAATTGAGTGCTATCTCTTAAAAAATGGTAAAGGAGTGTTTAGATAAGCTGAGCGCGTAGTGGTACCTGTAGGAGCAGTGCGTGCACTGTGCGGTGCGGTCGCGGTCTGGTGCGTGCCGGCGCAGATGCAGGCGATGCTGCGAGGAGGTGGTGAAGCGGCGTGAGCACAGCGCGCACTGGTACGGCTTCTCGCCCGTGTGAATGCGCTCGTGCTCCGACAGGTTGCCCTTCTGGCTGAAGCTCTTGCCGCATACGCCGCACTCGTACGGCTTCACACCTAACAATATACAGCTGACCATATATTTCAAATATCGTGACATTTATATTTATTTAAATATAATGAGAAGGATGACAAAATGTTGTAAGAATGTTTCGGCAGTGGAACCCCACGTTAAATTACAACTGCTATGAGAGTGACATAAATCGACCGATTTGGTGATGTACACAGCGACGTACCGGTGTGCCAGCGCATGTGCAGCGTGAGGCTCGTCCTGTGAGAGAACTTCTGCTTGCAGATCTCACAAGAGAATTTCTTGATGCCCGAATGCAGCATCTGATGGTTCGCGAGATTCGCCTTCGTTTTGAACGATGCATTGCACAACTGCAAAAAGGGGGACAGTCATTAATAAAATAAAAAAAAAACTAAGACTGATTTCCATGTGTAACCGTCGAACAAACAAATCATATCAGTGTAGTTTAGAAATTGTATCGTCCAGTAGGTTTTTATGTTAGAGATCTAGGGTTCAGGTTTGCTAGTGGACTTTGGGACGGGGTTGTCTGACCTTGCACCTGAAGGGTCTGAGCTGTGAGTGCACGAGCTGATGCCGTTGCAGCAGCTGCTTGTGCCTGAAGTGTTTGCCGCAGGTTCCACACACGTAGCGCTGCTCCGCGTGCGCCGCCTGCTTGTGGTACACCACTGAGGATGGGTGGCTCAACACCTACAACCACAAAATAACGTAACAATGAATTTAACATAACTTACACTATATTTCAAACTTTCAGTTAGCTATAGTACTTGTACCAGTAATAATAATAACATAGCTTTATAGACAGATGCGTCAATTATTTAATTAGGAAAAATATGCGTTACTTGAACTGTTCCTGTTCAAAAAACTGCGTCAAATAGCTATATGATATGAGGTTATGTACGTACCTTCCCACAGAGGTCGCAGGCGTAGCCCTTGCCGGCGGGCTTGTGGCGGCGGTGTGAGATGCGGTGCAGAGACAGTGAGCGCGGGTAGCCGAACGCCGCGCCGCACTCCCCGCACTTGTACGGCTTCTCACCCTGATGTACCGCCTGTACAAACATATCAACTGTTAAATAATGCTTTTTTTACTTCTTTAAGTGTGTAAGTAGTAATGGCTTTAACTAATTGCACAAAATAATTAAGCAGACACTCCGCGGATGGTGCGGGGGACGAAAGTTAGTAAGAGATATTTTTTAGTGAATTTATTCACGTTTTTATAATATTTTATTTAAATGACTTAATAAAGTAAGAACAAAGTAATCAATAATGATGTGTCTTCACCTTGTTATGCATCGACTTTGCCTGCCTACTACTGAACTCCTTGTTGCAATGGTTGCATTTCAATTTGGTCTTCACTTCCCCTACTGGAACATCCCCCTCTGTGTTGTCTGCTACTTTGCCACTTTCCTCTGTAAATTTTAAAATCGTAAAATAAAATTATTTTATTTAAATCAGATGTACATTAAATGATTTTAACCATCAAAATTTATTTCTTTTAACATACATTAAACTCAAATGATATTTTTTACATTTCGCTACTAAGACTGAAAATTAGTGAGAACTCACCATTTTCTTCAGTTTCTTCAACTTTAATGATATCCTCATTGTCTGTCTTCTTTGTTTCTTCACTAGTGACCACTGTGATTGTATTCAAATCTGGTAACACTTCAGGACCTGTCGTCGTTGTTGTTGTATCACCTGATACAATACTGTCTATGTTGACTACGGTCACTGTGTCAGTCTCAGGTTGTTCTTCACCAACTTTTTCCGGTGTCTTTTCATTTTTACCACATTTCTAAAAATAAAATATACATTTTATAAATTGTACCATGTATGTAGTTTAATGCAATCAACTACAATTAGAAAAATATCTTTAGAACCGAAAGTTTCTAATGTCAAAACATTTGTTACCCCATTTTTTTTCAGAGATAAAATAAAAAGCAAAAATATGTATTTGTATAAATGCATGGGTAAGAAACTGGAAACTTCCAATTCAAGTTCAAAATAATATAAATGCAGTGTTTAATATAACTTACCAAATGTTTCTTCTCACTAGATTTAGTAACATCTTTGCACTGCACTATATTCTGTCCAACATGCTTGGTCTCCGTCTGGTGGTCGCAAAAGCGCAGTCGTGTGGTAAAGGTCTCAGAGCACTGCGTACATTGATAGAGCACAGGGCCGTGCTGAGCGATGTGTGACATATAGCGACCGTTGCTGGAGAACATCATACCACAGATCATACATTGTTCACGTGTCTGTCGATGACGACCTGAAAATATAGGTGTTAATAGTTTTTACTTTAATTATGAATGTGGAGAAGTATATCGATAATATATTGTAGTGATAGTATATTGACTATGACTATGGATAGGCCTAACAAGATTTAGTGAAGAAAGAAAGACAGGAAAGTAAAATGTCCTCTCTCAGTACATCTCCTTCAATATATAGAAAAAAATAACCTTATGTATTGAATTTATTAACAATATCAGTTATGTTGTATTAATTAATAAACTTACCTTTGGGGCGCCCTCTGCCCTTTCCTTTCAACACAACAACTAACTCTCCAGACTGTTCCAAGTGTCCTATCACTTGTGGTTCCTTAGTCTCTGGTGCTGTGGGTGATTGTTCTACACTAACTTTCTTTTCATTATCACTGTCTTCACCATCAGTCATCCCTTCTTCTTTAAATATCCTCTCCAATTCTTTGCCCTATAAATTAAATATTTATAATGTTACTAGTTGTTGTTGGTATTAAAAAAAAACCCTAGTAGCCTATGTGTTCTTGCAGGCTAAGTTCTGTGCAAATTTCATCAAAATCCATTATGCCACTCAGGAGATACCTTGTAACAAACAACAATCCATCCATCTTAACATTTGCATTTATAATTAGTAAGATCTACCAAATATACGATATGTGTATTTTATGATATAATCAAAAATATGGAGCTATATACCCCATTTTGTAGAATAAATAGGTCATAGTAACAAAAACCTATTACTTGTATCTCAGCTCACATTCCAGGCCTTGCAGATGTATATCTACCAAATGCTGCTATTGTTGCATGATTATCAGTATTTTACCTGAACCACTTCCTTGAATCTTGTAGGTGTCTTCCTTCTTCTTTTGCCTGCTGTTCCATCACTTTCACTGCCCTCATTTTTGGACTTCTCTTGCTCCTTGAGAGCATCTTTCTCTGCCAACTCTTCAGGGCTCTTTTGTGTTTTAGGAGGCCGGCCCCTTTTTCTTTTAGGCTTATCTAATCCTGCTACTTGAAGTGATATAGGATGCTCTAACTGGTACACTCCATTACCAGTGTTTACTGTAAATTAATTGTGAATATTGCATAATACTAAACATAACAAATTACCTTAATATATTATATATTTTAAAATGTTACTTAATTAACTTTATAAAAGTTACTGTTTATACGAATCGCAACAATTTAATAAAAAAAATTAAGGTTGTTTCTTGAATTTCTATTACAGTTGGACAATATCCTAATATTAAAATTAAACTTAAAAGCGATCTTCTTTTCTATAACATTTTACAATTATTTTAACTTTCTGAAGAGAAGAATTATATATTTAAGGGAGCCAGTTTTTTAGTAGTTTAGCTTTAAGTTATTTGACATTTAAGTCTACTTACTTTCATAAATTATTTTTTCAGTTATAATTTCAGGTTCATTTGAGGAAGTATAGGACTTCTTATATTCTTTCTCTCTTTGGTAAAGTTCTCTTATAACTTTCTGCAAACAAAGTCAACTTTAAAAATACACACTTTCAGATATGTGTCTATAAATATTTCTGAAAATATGTCATATAAAATATAAGAACAAGTATAAAAGTTTTACCTGGCCATTTATTATCAAATTCAGAAATTCTACAGAGGCCTCCAGCTGTATTGTACATCCAGGGCAAATCGTCCGAGGTAAATGGCCATCATCTGAAACCTATTACGCATGAAAATAATTAATGATGCATGTATCAATTTAAACGTAAAAAATAATAGTAAATAGTAAACAAATTGTGTCAAATCAAATTTAGCGGATGTGGCGAGAATGTATACAATGACATTTTATTCCTCTCTTTAAACAAATTCTCCTGTTTTTGTCTAAATTAGAATATTACGTTTTAAAATAGAAATAAATTCGAAAATATAAAATTGTAGCTTACCAATTTACTACTCTTTAGTAAGAAAATAAGAAGAAATAGATTATAATAAAGGTATGAAAATGTTAACTTCAAGTGTAAAGGCAGCCATCTTTAGAAATTCAAAGTCAACACAATTACAAATTAATTAAAGTGCTACTTACCTTAATGGGTAAATAGGTGTTAATAATTTCACTAAGATTTTGGCCATTTTCTTCATTTGAATATAAAAGATTTCCATTATCATTTTCTTCCCCGCACAATCTACAAACTGTGGAATTGTACAGGAACACTTCCATTTTTCTTGGGTGACATATCGCGCCATCTATGTCCGTAAAAAGATGTAAAATCTTTGCAGTGTCCTTTTCAAACGTATATAGGTACAGAATAGTTTCTAAGCATAACAAACTTCATAAAAAGTCGTAAATATGGAAATTTAACGATAATTTACGATACGATAATTTATGCTAGGTTAATATTTAGCTTCACTTAAAACAGTAATCTCCCATCATTTACGTATGATTAAAGAAAAAAACATATGAAACTAACTGAAGATCATACTGAATATTAGAAAATAAGGTATTGGAATTTTCGTAATTGTAAATGAATTATAGAGAATGGCTCTCTAGCTCTTGATAAGCAGGCTAGGTCAAAAAATATTTTTTAATTCGACACACTTGTATATTTTACGAAGGAAGGGAAACACTATAGAAAATAAAAAGTGAACAAGTAGAAATAACGTAATTAATTTTATTACTGAGTCACCGACTTTATTTGTCTCATGATTAGAGAAAGTAAGTCATAAGTTTTTAAATAGTTGCAATATAATGAGTTTTAATTTTGTCTCATTTCAGTTTTTTTATCTATGTGAATAATTTTGAATCTGTAAACTGATGTACATGGCAACATTAATCCTTTTTTAAATTCTCTCTTTCTTTTTTTAGCCCTTTCCGGTGAAGTTCTTGGGGCTGGGAGCCGTAGTTTCGGTTTTTATTATTTCCATCGCCTTTAATCCACAAATATGAGAATTTATAAGGACATTATTACCGGTAATTATAGTTTAATTGATGCGGTGAATATATTGTGCATATTATTTTAGTGATAAATGATAAAAATGTCAAAGTGATTGTTTTGTGACATCTTGACCAGTGATGTATCTTACAATTTTATGTGTAATTCTGCCACATAGGCAGTAAAGACAAATGCTTAATTGTATTAATAAACATATTGTAACATGGTATTGTGATTGTATTTTGTTTTAGGTGACGAGATGTTCTCGGACACGTATAAAATGAAATTAGTTGACGAAGTGATCTATGAAGTCACCGGTAGATTAGTGACAAGAGCACAAGGCGACATCAAAATTGAGGGCTTCAACCCCTCTGCTGAGGAAGCAGATGAGGGCACCGACAGCGCCGTGGAGAGCGGTGTCGATATCGTACTGAATCATAGGCTAGTGGAAACATATGCCTTCGGAGACAAGAAGTCCTACACATTATACCTTAAAGACTATATGAAAAAGTGAGTGTTATACCATTTTTTATGCTTTTTATATAATTTAAACTGCAATGCGAAATAATAGTGACATAGTGAATGTAGTGAAAGTTAGTGCGCTTTCTAGAGGACTTACGAAATGTCCGTACAAGCTACAATTGATTGCAAGTGTTACAAAGCTACTGCTATTGTATAGGGTACCATATTGTTTTTGGACTATTTACATTGCACTATATACTTAAAAAAATAGTTTTAGGAACCACAATATACAATTCAATTTTATTGTGACGAAAATTGTTAAGGTTACTTATAGTGTCCTAACGCTGAATATACATTTAGAAATTAATATGAATGCAATTCAGAAAATGTAGTTTCAACATGTCTGATGAACAGTTTTATGTAGTTAGACTTAGTCATGGCCAGACAGATTTGTCATGACATGCTTCTCAGTCATGTAAGTAAGTAAATGCAATAGAATTTTTCATGTCTTGTCTTTACTTAATCTTTGAATTATATCTTATGTGTTAAGTCATAAGATAAAATGTATTTGGCATGTTTACAATGACTTCGAAGGAATGAAAATTATTATGGCCTGCAGCAGTTATGTGGTTTAACATTGATCTCATAGTTTTTAGAAAATGTATCTCAGTATATTAAAATTGATTTTTAAACGAATTACGTCTTGCATTTAGTGATTTTGATCTAACACTGTTCAGGTTTTTTAAACATTTTTTTTGAATATTGTATTTGCATCATCTAATACCATTGAGTGATTTACATATCACTCTGTTGGAGCTTTTGATGCTAAATCAAATAACTTTAGTGAAAAAACATTCATTTCTATAATGTTTGTTCATGAAATGGAGATGACATACAAATTTAATTGGCTTAAATTGTTTTAAAACTGGATTTGTTCCTATTATGTGGACAAGGTTATGCAATAAAAGTGTCTTAGATAGAAAAATCCAATTTTTATTATGAAGATGTGAAAAAATAATAATTTTGTTAAAAATATATAATTCATAATCTAAAGATTTGTAGATATTTGTTATAGGCAATATATAACCAATTTTTTGTTTCTTTAATTTTCAGATTAGTTGGAAAATTGGAAGAGAAATCTCCTGACCAAGTAGATGTATTCAAGACCAACATGAACAAAGTGATGAAAGACATCCTAGGCAGGTTTAAAGAGCTCCAGTTCTTCACTGGTGAATCAATGGACTGTGATGGCATGGTCGCCATGATGGAATACAGGGATATTGATGGAGTGTCAACACCTATCATGATGTTCTTCAAACATGGCTTAGAAGAGGAGAAGTTCTAACTGCGGCTCTAATATCGCTTAGGCAAAAACTACTCATAATATTCCAATTTTACAACACAGACGCCTAAACTCATTTTTATTTATTTTTGTGATCATGTCTGCATTCTGCTGCTCCCTATCACAAGGCTGAACAATTTTGTAAAAATAAATGTTGCATACTATAAATAAATTAATCTACATTTACTTCCATACTTTTATTGACCGTTTTACGATTAATTCTCTTCATTGGAAATTGCTGACAAATACATGTTTGTGCTATTTGGTGCCATGTGCCGAGTTTCTAAGATATTTGAAAATCTATATTCCTACGAATCGCATGGCAGACAATAGATGGTGCTGTTGTGTAAAAATTGATGTGGTCCAAGTTTTTAAACAGGGTAATAGATGGCGCTGAACTCATAAGTAGAAGTCGATTGTTTTTATGTAACAAACGCTTCTTGTAAAAGGTTCTTTGACCAAAAACCATAATAATTTTATCGTATGTAGCTGTTAACCGCATCTGGTTTCAATACTTCAGAACATCTGGCAATGTTAATGAAATAAAACAAAGGGTAAAATTTGAGGTATGTTATATTTATCGAGTTTGTATGTATGTAGGTAATAACTACAATAAAGTACAGAAATGACTGATGCCCTATTACAAATGTGAGTACACTAATCACAATTTTCAATATGTATTTATTACTTGTATACTTCGTTCGGCATCCACTAATGCATGCCTTAATTAATTTAGTCTTTAATTTCTCCGTCTTCACATTAAAATAAAAAACATCTTTTTAATATGTTAGATACAGATATATGTTGAGGTTAACAATAGTTGCCCATTTAATTTGATCGTTCGCCAATAACGTATTGACATTAAGGAAATATACGAATTTCTTGAATCTATGTTCTTTTAAACAGACCTTATGAATCGGATACAAAATACGAGCGTTATTTTTTGGCGAACACAACTTTGTTTATTGATGAACGATCAAATAAATCACGTATTGAAATTGTTTTAACATACTTTGAAATTAATTTTATAGTCATGTTACAATAAAACTGGGGAAATGTAGTTCTTACCGTGGTACAATACAATTAAAAATTAATATAAAATGTGCTTAATGCATGAACTTACAATTTAAGTAGAATTAACAATGCGTTCATGAGGTCAATAACAGAGTGTAAAATACCACTAGAGTAAACCTATAGTCAAACAAATAATTATATTATTAGTGTACATAAAGTCCTAATTTGTTTTATACGACTGTACTGGTATCTATTTGGCAAAATTCAAAATATATGTTAATCATCCTGTATGTATTTATAATTTTTAAATAATTGTATATCTGGCAATACTTAATTAAGGCTCTCCCCTAGCAGTACACCATTACACTCTAAGGATTAAATGACAAAGGTTAATAAGTGTTGACAAGTGAAAGTTTAAAAACATACTATATTAGGATTGAGCATTACGAAGTGACCGAGACGTGACAAGATTGCAAAGTGGTGCTTTATAGTTCATAGCTAATCGATATGACCGAGGTATACCACTGCCCAATATTTCATACATGTCAGTCATCTCTCTCATTGCTTTAGGAATAAATGAGTTAACGACATGTTTTTGTATTGTTCTCGCAGTGGAAACTCACAGTCAATTTAGTGTGGACATTAACAACAGATGGTAACAGAGTCGCGACATCATGTAAGTTTGTCAGTCCGAATAGCAAACAATACAATATCAGAAAAAAGTATTTTACGATTACTTTAGAAGAACAAGATCGTATTAAATTTTATAAATATCTCAATATAAATATATTTACATTCGTTAATTTCTAATATTCTTTTTATATTGGTGTCTTATTTAATGCTTATCAAGTCATCTATAAATAAAACGTTACATTAATAGGTTTTTCTTATGGAATGGTTTTGTACAAAATCAAATACAATAAATCCACTATTGTGGGGCAAAAACAAAATACAAGATCACATGATATAAATGAAAAAAAAATATAGGGGAGGTGTTAACTAACTGCCACAACCTCCTTTACCTATGCTTATATCGACTAGCCTGTACATTGTACGATCGCGGTCGGGTCGGCAGAGCATAGCCGCTGCGAGCGCGTCCCTCAGGGCAGAGGCATGTGCGAGTGACAGACCTGCACATGCCATGCCTGCTACCCGACACATCTCGTCTCCAGTGAAAGTCAAACTTTCAAACGTCTTCCCGCTCCCCTTACATTTCATTGAAAAATAGATCCCTCACTACTTAATTATAATTTACAAATAAGGTACTCTCTTATTAAAATGAAATACGATTCAGGATAGTCCTCACTGGTCGTACGTACACCGGACCCGACACACTAAAGTCACTAACCGCTCTAGAGCTCTACGTCCCATCACGACTTAGTTCATCCATAGAAAAACATAATGGAATGAAGATTTATTGCTAGAATTACAAGATCACAAACGGTTTAAAAGTTCTGTGCGCGCACTCAGCAGTTGAAGGTGTTGGAGTGTGTGCAGGCACGAGCGTACTCCCCCGTGCGCCCGTAGCCTTCCGTGATGACGGAATACTCCGGTTCGCTGTAGTCGGGCATCTCCCGCTCGTAATCCCGCTCCCTCTCCCGGTCACGGTCCCGCGGGAACCCGATGATGGTCTCCGAATTGCGCAGGTACCCGTTCTCCTGCTTCCTGGAGTAGCGGGTATCAAGGTTCCGCTGAAAGTTCTCCGGATGGCAGACGACACCGTTGCGGTTGTTTTTTTTATCCGGCAAGGAGCGGAGGGAGCCGTTGTTGAGATGGTGCGCCGGCGCACCGTTGTTGAGCGTCATGGGCTGGTGCGGCTGATGCGCGCGGCTGTCGCCGCCAATGTAGGTAAACCCGTTGGCGGGCATAGTGCCGCCGCCTCCCGAGCGCGGCGGCCGGCGCGCGGAGCCCTGGCCGCCAGACATAAAGAACACGCTCGGGGAGGCGTAAAGCTCTAGCTACAGTTCCGTTACCGGTATCGTCCTGAGGCTGGGGGTGTGCGGGGGCGGTGCGGGGTACTGCGAGGGGTGGATGCCGCGCACTATGCAATCCTCCTCGGTCGATATCGGCTTGTGGTATTCCAGGTTTTTGCGCCCCTTGTTCCATTTATAATCCTTCAGTTTCTCAGGCATACTCTTCCTGCATCGGTACAACATGAGGATGATAGCCGCGAAGGTCGCGACGGAGACCACAACGACCACACAAATGATGGTTTGCTGCCGGGTGTCGTGCACGATGCAACCTAAGTCTTCAGCGTTTAATGTCTTCAAATATTTATCCTTCAAGTTGTCAGGGCTCGCGCACTGGATTTGGGTGAAGTTACTCTTCTCGTTTAAAAGCTCTTGCAGCCATCGCATATGGCAGTCGCACTCTATAGGATTATCATTCAAGTCTAGTTGTCTTAATTCTTTACCTATAAATATGGTTTCACTTAGCGTTACTATAGCATTATCTCTTAAAGAAACATGCTTAAGCTTCGGCAGCCCTAATAGTGTACAATCTTCGATAACCGATAACTTTTTATTATTGGCTAATATGACGGTTTCTAAATTTACATTATCTTCGAAGGCGCCCTTCTGAACGCGTTCCAGTAACGTAGCGCCGGTGATGTCCAAAAGTTTCAAGTTCTTGAGACCTTTAAACGAATGGCTTTCTAATTCTAAAAAATCATTCTGTCCTATGTACAATTCTTCCAATCTCGTGAGACCGGACAACTGCTGCGTGGGCACCACATTCAATCTATTCCCTAGAAGATTAAGACTTCGTAATCCTGGTAGACCTCTGAACGCGTTCTCACTAATATTTGAGAGTCCAGCTCCGTTTAGATCTAGTACAGTTAGTCTGTTGAGGCCGGCAAAAGCGTCATCAGGCAGAGAGGAGAACGCGTTCAAGCCGACGTGCAGCTCGGCGAGGCTCCCCAGCAGACTGAAGGAGGGCGTCGGTACCGAACTCAGCTGATTGTCATCCAAGTAGAGTATCCTTAAGGCGGTCAGTCCGGCAAACGCTCCTGGCTCTATTCGAGATATACTATTCTGGCCTAAGTTTAGTTCCTCTAATCTCGGCAGCGTCGTGAATACTCCGTTATTGAGCTCCTCCAAGTAGTTTCTTTTTACATTAAGAACTGTCAAAGAGTTGAGCCCTCGGAAGGTCGTGTTAGTGATGGATGATATTTTGTTATTGTTCAAATGCAGCTCCTGGAGCTTGCGCTGGTAGGCGAAGCTGTTTGTGGGGATGTTGACGAGGTGGTTGTGCGAGAGGTCAAGGTGCTGCAGCTCTGCGTAGAACTGCATGGAGCTATCGATCGTTTTGATCTTGTTGTTGCGGATGATGAGCCGCTGTATGGAGGGATTGAGGGCGATGGGTAGGACATCCAGTCGGCTCTCCTCGCAGACCACCACTAGCGTGTCGTCGTTGCAGCTGCAGCCGGCGGGGCAGTTGGCGAGCGCTGTCGCCCCGCTGCGCCACGACAGCAGCACTAGCGATACTAACACCACCTGGAACGTGAAATTATTACGTTAAAACGTGACACACACAATGCTACAATAAAAATGATGCATCGTAATATACACTACAGAATTGTAGTAAAGGGAAGGAAGAATAACAGTTACTGCTCTTAGTAATAAATGCAGCTTCTTTCTAGTTTCCAGTTATTCGTTACGTTCACGAGTTGCAACATACCTTATAAATCGGTTCATTATATAAACAAGAAAATTTATGAATTATGCACATAAAAGTTGCAATAATATTTTGTCCACATTATAAAATGTATTTCTATTAAGGTCACGTTCCGATTAAACCGGGAACATCAGCGATGTATTAAATAAATTGATGGCCTCTCCATTATAAAATAAAAGGAACGCAATGTAAGGCGAAGGAAGTACGCCGGGGCGGAAGCAAAAAAGATAAATAGAGTGGTATTGGAATGAGAATTTTGCGCAGTTTTAATTTATTAAAATGTACTCCGGCGAGGCGGCCGCGGTAGCTTCTTTCCTTCAAAGACCCGGTACTTTTATTACGTTTTCCGCTTTCAGCAATTAGCGCTGAGACGCGAGCGCCGACTTGATTTGACTACGGAGTTGTAGAAAGCTCTTAATGCTGTTAGAGCGCGACTGCAGATGGATGCAACACCAACAATCTCTTGCTTTACACAAAGAAGCGACTTTGCAGCGTAAATAAGTTTACAACAATCGCACGGAGCTGCTAAACGTAAATTCAATTGCGAATCCTTGAAGACATCGACCGTCTAGGTAGAGCTGGTACTTAAAACTAGCCAGTAATCGTCTTCTCAAATCTCTTTATTTCTAATGAATCTTACATTTTTTATGCATTACTTCAGTACTTTTAGCAAAAAAGAATAAATGTAAGAGGAATAAAATAATATGGACGAGAGCTTTGACCAAAGAGGCGTATTAATAAAATGCAGACACATAATTGCATAACACGTATATGTTAAATAACATGTTATATACACAATATATTATAAAAGTATGCGACTGACAGTTGGGCTATCAATCGCCAGACATGTAAGCCGCCTATGTCAGACTCCCCTGTCATGCGTCAAGCTCGATCGTTGGCTTTGCGGAAATTTTTCGACGCGTTACCGTGCGCGTATCCATTGTGTCTACGAGCGGATAGTTTGGTCTGGCACAAATCATAATCAAAATCCTATATGCAGGTCATTCGCAAACAGCGGCGCGCTCGTTTCGCCCCCTGTCCCGGTGAAATTTCCGCTAAAATCCAATAAAGTGACCGGTCGGGACGTTCGCCCGATTCCGACGTTGTTTTATGAACGTTGCAATGTTTTTTTAGGATTAATCCGGATCCTATATCCGTTACTACGAGGCTGTGGGGCGGCGGGGAACTATTCCGTTGGTTATTGGATTTCTATTCGTAAATTATTGAATTACTGACATGTTGTTTGCTTTGCCGTTAATCTACGACCGTAGAAATGTATGGGAGATACAATATCACTGTATTTGAACTGCACGAAGGGTTCCTCTGGTAGGTTACATATTCGGGTAGGAAATTTTACGTAAATTTTGGCTAAGATCAAAATTATATAAAAATTACTGATTTATAAAGTTACTCGTCTACATTACCAATATATTTCGATGCCATATGTAAGTATTATACGATGCAAAGATGGTGTAGGATGCGGTATGTAGTCACGAGGAGCCCGGGGCCGGAATAAAGCACAAAAGCTCACAAAGAGGCCTAAAAACGTGATAGGGCGCTCGTCGACGGCGGCGGCGGATAGCTATGCAAATCGTTCAATTGCGGCCGCGAAGAGTGAATAGCGAAATGTCCACGCTATACATAACACCGTGTTGTTTCATATAATAAAAGTCTGTGATAGAAAATGGAATTATAAAGTACGAGTATCATTTAGAAATTTCCTAGACTAAAGCAACTTACACTATCTTAACTGACGAAGCTATTTTGAACACCATGTGAAGCTTTTACTGTGAGAAATACACACTGCTCTTCTGTCGTTACAATACTTACAATTAGCAAATTTAAACAATTTGTACAATCTTCAAATACAACCCGTTCGTGTCGGACATTGTAGGCTCTTTATTCAAATTTTCGAATGAATTCTACGGGATGTTGATTAAAAATGCGAGCGGCGGACACCACTAGCGGACGGGCGTCTGAATTACAAATTGCGTTCGGAAATTGGGTCGGCAGACATTTAGAGTAATGTCATATTGTTATTAAAATCGTGTCCCTCTCAAGAGACTCGGTTTTTGCTTGAGATAATTAAACGACGCGACTGAATAATTAATGAAATTTCAAGTTGTACCAGTAATTTCAAGTTTTATCTAAATATAAAATACCAAAGTTGGTAGACCGCTAAAAGTCAAACTAATTTTGTTTAGTCCAACACTACAAGAATACGTAAGCGCTGTTATAAGACAATTTTTCCATCAATTTTGTGTCCGTCCGTAGTTCACAATTGCGTAATTAAATGGTTTGTACTGATAGTAATTTGTCGTGTGTACCTACTAAGGTACATTTGCATGGCTTCATTTACTTGACCCAGTTAGTGGGGCGTACACTCAGGTGTTCAGAAGTGGGCCGTCTGTCCGCACATCTCTACCTCACTACCTATCAATCATTAGTTAATTAATCGAAGAACTCTTGAGCGTGTGCAGTTCAACTAAGACATACTTCATTAATATACAAAGTATAGTGTGTAGTGTGTATTGTGTACTATAATTACACAATATATTTTAATGATTGTGTAATGTGTAATTATTCTGAAGATTTCAAATTCTATTTTTAAATGTACACAAATCCGTCAGTCAAACATATTGTAGTTTAAAAAAAATACATCCTGTATTTCTATGAAACATTTTTGTAGTCGAATCATTTTTTTTTTACACTGTACATGGTGAGACTTGTAACCAGTGACTAGTTTGCTAATAGATCGTTCGCGGGTCCCGCTGGCACGAGCTCGTGCGGCCGAAAAACAATTTTAAACAATTCCGCCTCGAGCCGTCGATGCGGCAAATAAAAACGCTCGCCGCTCGCACTGACGGTTTCACGCGCTATTAGACACCGCGATAGGGTTGCAACGTATGGAAAATTGGCACGGAATCATTCAATATTTGTTTAGATTTTTTACTGTTTAATAACCGGTTTGTATGGAATTGACAAATGATCAAGCATATGAGCTCATACAAGCCATCTAACACAACTGGCACTTTGATGTTATCTGTAGATGTCAAGAATTTTAAGCGAACGTTGCGACTGGATAAAAGTAAGAAATATTGCTTGCTTAGATGCTTTCATAAAATGTCGGCAAGGAATTAAATTAAAAATAAATACTAGGAAAATAAAGTTTTCGAAATTGTGTTGAAACTATCCGATTTTTTTTATTTCTTGTCGTGTTTCCGATCATCGTTGTTGCAGCAGCCCTGTGATTATCGGAACGCTTCATTTGTGCGCGACAAACGTCCACCAAATGAGTGGCATTATGTAGATTCCGTACCTGTGCGCAGCCGCGCAGCAAACTCCCCGCAATCCGCCTCTTAATTGCTGTTCACGCGTAAATACGCGAATAATTCGAGTGCAGCTTTCGTTACGGCAATTATATCGACAGATTCCACATCCGATTATGTTCGTATTGTCATCCGATGTGTAACTGTTATTAACGCAACGTATCGATGTTTACATCGATATTTATTATCGATGTTTACATCGATTGAAACCTTAATTAAAAAAATGATAGTTAAGGATGGTCTATGGGTAGTTAAACTGGTAGGCAAATAACACCTTTAAGAGCGTAATAATTATTGGAATTGTGAATGTTAAATATAAAATTTATTTTATACGTAAACATAAATTAAGGGAAAGTTTACGATCTGCCAAAATGGTGCTTATAAATTTTGCTGGACGTTAAATGCAAATGAAATGGCAGAGTAGGTATTTGGTTTCTGAAAAAGTATTTAAAAAAAAACTGAAACAGTCTGAACAAAAGAGTGAGGCGGGTTTGTTGCTAATTAATAGAATCGATAGGCTATTTCTATTTTAAATAGCATTTGCAGTTTATTTATTCTGAGAATAGTGAATAAGCGTTTAAAATGCAAATTATGCAAGATGAGGAAATCTAGCATTGTTTATTTTGCTGCTCACGAAGTTATCTGATTTTATAAATAGAAAATAAGATTACATTCGATGTAACACGATAAAAATTAATTAAATTAGCATCGAACTAGCGAAAGCCCACGACTTTGTCAGCACAGACTTTAAGAAATTAAAAAGTAGCCTATGATATGCCTGCGTCCATCGGCTAACTTCCCGTCCATGTGTCATCAAAATCGGTTCAGTCGTTCCTGAGATTACCCGGAACAAACGCGGCTTTGCGAACAGATATACTGACGGACCAACAGACAGACAGACAGATAGATTTTTTTGTATATTGATTTTTCGTTATTAGCTACGCAAATTATCATAATTACGAAATGTTAATGTTTATCAAATGGGAATTGGAGGCCATATTAATTAAAAATTCACGTAAGCCGGCTTTTTTGTTTTGACATTTGCTTAAGCCCTTACCAGATACATTACTTTGTGAGAATTGCTAGTTAATATTATGAAAATTTGCTTACCATACATGAATTTGATGTGACGAGTTCAGCGATCTGTCGTACTAAGCGCAGTGGTGCCATCTGTTGAGGAAAGAAAAACAGTCGTTTATTATTTGCTCGAAATTTTATTCATGAAGGTATAAAAAATTAAAAGGTAAGGAGAACGTAATTTAAGATTATTTATTGTGTTGCTAGGTATTCGTATTATGGCAAATTATGTGAAATACGAATTTACACAAGAACAAGAATGAAAACTTAGCTAAGCGCAGTCAATTACGTGACGTAGAAAAGTCCGTCAGCGAATAAAGAATTCAATATAATAGGTAGTTATTTCATGAAAGGCAATCACCAGTGGTCGGTTAACGATGGCAACTTTCTATATTGTATGGAATCATATAGAATGTAAATTAACACGTTACATTATTGATTTTAATTAGTTTCTTTGATTAGGATTAGAAATATATACGATCTCTCATGATCTCTTTACTATACTCTCGCGTCTTCCAAGTATATGTACCCTTATGGTTATCGGTTTTAAATTTGATCATTAATTTATCAATAATCTTTACGATATACGGAGAGTGAATAGACATTTACTAACTTAGAGCGTACCGTCTTTTGCCCACATCATCACTTAAAATCAGGTGAGATCGTGGTCAAGCGCTATCTTATTCGAAGAAAAAACTGTTTCATTAGAAGCTAACTGAATATATATACAAATAGGATTATTAAAATATACATTTTATAATAAGTCAATTAATCGTAATTGTGAGAAGTAATAACTTATTTAATATTTGAAGACATAATTCCCATTTCCCTCGCTGACGAGCTTCGAAAGGCTCAAATGGTCGAAACGAACAAACAATGGGCCTATTAATAGCATCCAATGTAAGGAAATATGAGTGCACATGTCGGCTTCCCACAAGGCGTGTGATTACGCCATTAATGTGGGAGCCGTGTTTATAACGATTTCATTATAGTGCGCACAATTTGACATAATTGCGGAGGGTTCTGCGCGGGGTCGGGGAGCATTTGCAGTAGTTTATAGCATGGGTTAGTCATAGCTTACAATTGCACAGATGGTGCATTGTCTTTGTTATATGGGCAGATCATATATTCAATAATATGTTCACAAAAGTCTAATTTTATTTGTGAAGAAAATTTTATTAGGTATTTCCGGCAGTAAAACTTTATGATATAGTTCATGGGTTACGCAGTTTGAATGTTAAGTGTCCTGACTATTTACAAATCTTTAAGGGATTTTCAGGTTGTTCGGTACAATACCGTATTAATGATGGTCATTTAAAGCATGAAGTGAACATCAAACAGTCATTAAGCAAGTTGAAGTATTAGTGGAACTAGATGACGGTGTCGCAGCCTTTTGTTTTTCGCTCGTCCCAGAGCCGCGGCCGGCCGTCTGAATGGCAACATTGCCGAATTGTTGGCAACTTTCAGTTGGCTCCAGTTTGCGGTCGCGTCGCCGCCCATTAGGACAGTGAGCTGGCGGTATTCTACGCTAAAAGTAATTTGCGACGTCACTAGCCGTTGCCTCGACCCGCTATTTACAAATGCGAAACAAAATGCCGGTAATGACGGCGCCAGTTTCGCTAAAAACTAAATGCTTCTCGCCATTTCCCCGAGTTCGAGCTTAGTGTGGAAGTGAGACGATTTTATTTCTATCCTCTTCCCTTTTAATTACAATATTATTGCACTCATGTTCTTTTTATTTAATGGAAATGTTTGTTATTTAAATTTTACGTCTGCTCTTTATAAATTAATACTTTTCTATTACCAATTTGTATTTATAGGCAATGAATGCAGTATTAAGGAAAAAGTACAAAACATAGGGCGTTACATCGTATCAAGATCCATTCACGTTCATTGGCCCAGAAGACGACGTTAGGGCAGATAAGAAGAGGAAATACAACATTCTATTTGCCACCCCTACATTCCAATTTATTTAGCTACTTCGCCCCGCGATGCCTGATTAAAGCCACATGCCTTTAGAATTTGATATTCGGCGAACAACTCGGGATTCAATTTCGGCTGTCGGTTCAGAGGAGTCAGATTTTTAGCTCGGATTTCTGCTCAACGAACAATTTCGAGTCGTTCTCAGACATCGAGAACACTTTATCGAAAGCTTTTATAGGCTTCGAGTAATTAACAAACAAAATTTGACCAATTTAATTAAAACTGTTTAAGTTAAGACGCTCTTTTTAACAAAAGCCTTTAAGCTTATTACATAGTAGTGAAAAGGGAAGTGAAATTATTAACAAATATTAAAAATAACAAAAGTCAGAAATCTCCTATTTATATTTCCCAAAGTATAACTGTATCGATGATAAGAATAAAGCTTTTCCTTTGCGATTTGAGAAGTAAAAGGATCTCTTGTATCAGTTAAGTGGCGCCTTGTAGTCGCCGCGCCGGGTCATCGGCCAAGCCATGACAAAGGTTACGGCGTGACAAAGGTTACGGCCTCAGAAGCCCGGCGCTGAGAGCCTATTGTTTTGCTTCTCACATGCTTTAGGTACCAGATAAATTTACTGTCGTTGATTTTCTTTGAAATAAAATACGTTCCAATGATCTTTATTCATTGCCTTATTTTGTATATTTGTGTAATTGTGTTAAGAATGATAAACAAAATCAGTTAAATGTGTAAATAAGGGTAAAAGCAGATGTCTCGTACATTATTATGACGCCCACACGAAACGCTTTGAAATTAGCAGTCCGGGCAATTCAATGAAATTGCATTTACTTGTTTTAAATGTCGGTAAACAATTTATGTAAAACGGTAAAAGAACGCGCAAACTTTAACGCTACTTCCCCTTGGATTTTCAACCAGTGCTGCGAGAACACTTTTTTCTTTTTCGGTTAAAAAACGTTAATTGCGCTCCTTCTCGTTACGGCGAAACTCTTTTGAGCGAAATGGGAAAAGGAAAATCCGGTGTAGTAAATGAAGTTTGTTTAGCGGGGGCCATTCCGAATGCCTCTACAAAAGTAGTATGCCTAAATGATATGTTAAACTTTAAACGTTTTTAACCCTAACATGTCTGAAATTAAAGTTTGGAAATTACAGCCATATAGAACCCAGACAATTATTCCATTTAAAGACCTCAATAGTTGAGGTAATAAACCCGTTTGTATCCACTATGTATAAAGATAATTGAAAATATATTTCGAATGGAATAATATAGTTAAATAAACATCACAACGCTCCATAGAACGTAATGAAACGTTTTATTTGACTATTACAACAGAAGCGTGAAGAGCAGAAAATACCTGAGCGAATTGAGCATAATCTTAACATTTTGTACTTATTTTATCACGCCAGTCGCGTTTAATGCATGCTGGGACAATTCCGCAAATTAACCCTCCTAGCGGGGACCTTGAATGTGATCCCTAATTTTCAGATACATCTGGAGGAATAAATAGAGGATTAGGGACGACGCCGGGCGCGTAAATAACTCGCGTCGACTCGAGGGTACCAGGATAGCATGAGATAAGGAAAGTGTGGAATTGCACGCGCGCCGCTATTGTTAAGAATACCATAAGAGTACCTATAGTTTCCCTTTTGAGACTCGACTTTTTCTTTATAATTTTAAAGACTGTAGGGTGTAATAATTTTTTTATTTGTCTACTATTAAATTAATATTTAAGATGACATTAAAAACTTTTATATTACTTAAGAATTTAATAAACATAAAAAAGTTGAAATTAAATTTTTAATAACCATTTGTAAAAGTGTTGTAAGTATTAACAGTAAGTTGTTTTGCGAGGTAAAAATAAATAAGAAAATATCTAGCATAACTAAGATCGAGTAGAACAATTTCGCGTAAACTAGGAAAGTTAAACGTTTTATGATTTTTATACGACTTAGAGAGCGTCGCAAAAACTAATATATCTCTTGATCAAGTCTCGAGGTGTTCATAAAGTCTGATCAAAGATAAACATATGTTTGAGATACGAATAGTTTGAAATGGCGTTATTCGAAGTAAATACACTAGTATAAAACTGTTTGATATTATCCTTCAATAACTTTTGATTATCAAATTGAAACTTACGCGCATTAATGTAATTAATATCACAAAATTGTCATAGTTTTTTAAATTTACATTAAATATTAGCAGATCTTTTTGTAAATTTACTAATATTTCTTTTACCATTCCAACTAAGCTCTAGACTTGTGTTAGGATATGGTTTACGGCAGTAGTCGAATAGCAGGATTCGAATCCTGGACCTCGTGATCGGAAATCCGTATCCTTAACCATTAGGTTATTGATGCTTTTATAACTTAAGATTTTTGTTTTTCTTTTTTTAGTAATTACCTTAAAGTTGGTTTAAACATTAATACATGCACGCATTTTGTACAATGTCCGCGAACTTCGCAAATCCCACTTGGGGTATGACATGAAAATGAACAAGTTGGAGATAATGTTATGCCTCCCCCATTATAACTACCGTGCATATTCCGCTACTAAAGGAGGACTATTTTAATATGTAATTTTGGTCCTTGGTGTATAATGTTTTTAAAAGCTTCTTACTTTAAGTGCGGCTTGTGGACCGAAGGACAAGCTTTCTAAATTATATGTCGTACATTTTGAAATATTACAAAAATTTTATCCTCATTCTTGCAATTACTTTTTTTTTTAATGTGCTTAGATTTAAACGTAAACAATAAGTTAAACAACCTTCAAATGAAGGTTGTTTTTTGGTGATGTAAACATTATTAGAGAATAAAACTTCCTACTTTATTGTATCTCTGATATGTATCGAGAGCGTTGAAGTATCATCCGGGATCTGAACCCGAGATAGTTTCCAGTGTGGGCGATAAGCCCCCGTTCTGACGGACCCCTCAACTTGTTACTTCAAGATTCCAATTAGAGCGGATTCTAATGAAACGTAAAACTTTTATAGTGGAACTTTCTCGAAGATAATTTGCAATTTCGAAAGAAACTTTCGACCGCCGCGGAAAGTTATTCCCCATTCTATATATTGGATTTTATTAAAAATCTTTGTTTAAACTTTGCGATTTTAGAAATGAAGAATACGAGAACAGAAGAATAAAATCTGATGTAAATAAG